GCACCCCCTCAGCTCACTGGGAAGCACCAGAGCTCATGCCTGCAAAAAAAAGCGAGAAGCTCAGATGCAGAGCTGCGAAGCAGACCCTTTAACTGTGATGGTGACCACAATGCTCAAGTTCTCCACGCATAAATGAGCAGCTGGAGGGATAATAAAGCCTCTTGGCTCGGTTGGGATCCTTTCTTTCAGCAGCAGCCCGGGCCAGAAGGAGAGCAGGCACTGCACCTCGACCTACCTGCTGCTCCAGGCCCATCCGTGCTGTCAGCGGGGTTGGTGGCACTGAGCAAACCCATCCTCCTGGCTTATAAAGACACGTGGAGGGGTTGGGACTCATCCATCAACACCTGAAAGCCCAGTCCCTCTCCAGTCACACTGCCCAATGCTCCTCCCCTGCCCAGTGATCCACACACAGCATCCCAAATCCCAGGGAGCTCAGCAGCAAAGTCCCACATCCTAAAAAGGCAGGTGAGCTGCTGGGCAACATCCCCATCACCAGCAACAGCACAGGTCTTGTGGTGTCCTCCAGCTGGGAGCTGCATTTTTGGCATTCCTCTGCAGAGGAATTCCAGCTGCCTGCCTGTCACACAAGGGGACTCCAGGGCTGGACACAGCACACCAGGGCCACACCTCCCTCTTTAACCACTCAGCTCAGCATCCAAGGGACAATTGCAACTCCTTGAAGCCAAGGTGTGCTTTCCACCCTGCTGATGATCTGTGGTGGTTTGCAAAATAGCTTCAGAGGGAGGGTTGGGAAGGGTTCAATCATGCGAGCAGCAAAATGATCAGGTAGGGACAGAGCTCAGCACAGGCTGCACAGAGCTTTGCTTCTCCCCCTGGTGACGAAGGAGGAAAGCAGACCAAAGACATGAGTGCCCTGGGGGTTTGGGGGTTGGGTGGGGCTTTTTTTCAGTAGCAGACTTTACACTCTGCTCCACTCACACAAACCAGAAAAACCTGAGCTCAAGTTTCTTGCTAAATCAAACTCAACAGCACCCATGCACACACAAAAAGAAATGTCTCACCAGCTCTGCATCACAAAGAACACCAAAACCCCTTATAATCAGCTGGAAAATACAGGGGATTTATGGAGGGGCTTGTTTCTCCCCCTCCTGCTCCTCCACAACTGCAGAGAGAAGAAATGCAAAGCCAGCCAGGGCATGGTGGTGATGCTGACTGGCAGCAGCCTCTGCGAGTCTGTGGTCCAGCCTTGGCCCCCATCAGGGACAACCTCACAGGGCCTGAAATTACACCAATGCAACTAAAACCCCCCTCTCACCCCGACAAAGCAGCACAGACACGGTGTCACTGTCCCCAGCACGGATGGTGACAGGGCTGGACCCGGACAGGCTGCCCTCTCCCATCCTCCCAGCAGAGAGGGCTCCATCCCCACAGAGCTCCTGCCCCGGGTGGCCGTGGCCAGGCTAAAGAACCAGCTCAAGAGGTGCACAATTGTGTTGTTTTGTTGTTTTGTTTTTTTTTTAAATATGTCAAACCACAACACCTTCCATGAGGGTTTGGGCAAGAGACCATCTCCCTCACCAGCACTTTCACAGCACCCTCTGCTGCCCAGGCTTTCCCATTTCCTTCAGAGAGCACCATTCCATGGACAAGGATCGCTCCAAGACCTCAGTGCCTGCACGACCAAACAGCAGCCAGCTGAAGCGCAGAGAAATTTCGGAAAGAGCGCCTGAGCCTAAAGCAGCTCGGGGCACAGAAGTGCCCGGCTGTGTTTGGTGCAGCCCAGGGTGAGGTTTTCCCCCTTGCTGCCCAGGGTGAGGTTTTCCCCCTTGCTGCCCGGGCACTCTGCTCTCTGCTGCCCCACGATGAGCTGCTGCCAACCAGCAGCTCCAGGTCCCTCTGCACGGCAGCTCTCCACCCACACGTGGTGGATGTTCGACGTGCTCACACCGGTCCTGTGCCAACAGCAGCAGTGGTTCACCCTGTGGCTGCTTTCAAGTAATCCCCTCCTCTTTCCCTCCCCCTCACTGGGTGTTTGTTGTTACAAGAGGAAAATAAAATGGCTTTTAAAACATTTGGAATGAGCTCGACTCAGAATTCTTTTTCTGATTTGTTCATGCCTTAATAGTCTGAACTGGGGTCATCCTGGGGGGCTCCCAGCCCCATTTTACCAGTGCTCTGGGAGACAAGGGGAGTACCCCTGGTAGTGAGATACCAGCTGGGACTGGTGCAGAGAAGGGTGAGGGAGTGGGGATGGTGCACAAAGCCCCAGCAGATGTGCTGGATCCTCACTGGAAAGCCTCCATCCCACTGCTAGAGCCATGGGATCTGCATGTTGGAAATGTCTGAGGACACCTTGGTGAAGGCTCAGCTCCTGCTCTGCTCTCTCTCCATCAGACTCAGGTAATAGGGGAACTGGGCTAGGGGGAGGTGTCCCTGCCCATGGAAGGGGTGGCACTGGATGGGATTTATGGTTCCATCCAGGTGTCTGCAGATGGTGGGATGGGGCTGTTGGTGCCTTGTAGCACAACTGCAGTGGCTCTGCTTGAGTTGTCATCTCTGAAGGGGTTTCACTTTCTAGAACTGACCACAGAGGAGAACAGGACAGGGTGAGGTAATCTCAGGGTGCCAGAAGGAGGCTGTGGGTGAGATAGGATCTCTCTGCATTGACAGTGATTACCTGCCTCACTTGGTAGGGTTGTAATGACATCTTTCTCTGGGGGATGAGTTGCTCCCAGCAGGGCTGTGCCCTGGAGCAGCATTCTTCCAGCACTGCACTGGGCTCATGCCATGGCTATCAGGGCAAAGGCAGGAAGACCTTGCTGTCTTTGCAAATAAACACCCAAATCTTTTCCCCAACAGGCTTCTGAGAAGGCTGCAAGAAACTGGAGTCCTAGAATTGTTAAAGTTAGAAGAGATCTCCAAGATCATCAGGTCCAACCTTTATTGTGGCACCCCTGTGTTTGTCACTAAGCCACGTCCCCACCTGCCATTATTGAAATGTAGTTGAAAAATACTTTTAACTTCTGAAAATTCCTAAGAAGTTCAGGCTTTAGTCTCTTCCTGTTCAGGTTAGAAGTTTCTGCCACTTCTGCAATTGTCTGGTGTAGTGTTTGCATTCTCTTCCTTCCTTGTCAGTCTCCCATCAAAGCACTTGGGTGAAGTTCTGGAAGTTCTAACTCAGGTTCTGGAAGCACCCTGCTCCCCATGGCACTGGTACTTGCTTCCCATCTGCTGTTAAAGGCTAACCAAGGGATGAAGAGGTGTCTTTGGGAAGGAAACAGGGCAGTAAATTGATTTATGGTTGGAGCATAAACGTTGTGGAATCATCTGGGGTTGCCTTGATCAATAAATGGATGGAAGGCAGCAAAGGCAGCACTGCCAAAAATGACACCCACAGCCCGTGCCACCCCTCACCCACCCTGCAGGGACCTCCTGGGGCATCAGGCAGCTCCTGGCAAAAGGCACTGCCTGCTGGGAAGCAGTGAAGTCTGGGAAGAGGTGAAGGCTTCGTCCCCAGCTTCTTCCCTCCCCGGGGATGGATTTATTTCTCATTTTTTCAAGAGCACCCCCTGAAGTCACTGTGGGGACTGGGAAGTTCTGCATTTTCAGGCAGTGGCTCATTGCAAGCCAGGAGGCAGTGAGAAGAGGCAAAAAGAGCTGGATGGCTTACCCACAGGAGCTCGTTGGGATGAGCTAAGCTGGTCCCAGGCACCCCAGAGCACCCTGAGCACCCCACAGCTCCGTGCACCAACACCAGCCCTGTGCACCATCAGCCCTGTACACCAACACCAGCACCATGCACCAACACCAGCCCAGTACACCAACACCAGCACCAGTCCCAGGCACCAACACCAGCTCTGTGCAGGTGGAGAGTCCAGAGGCTCCAAGTCCTGCAGTTCACAGAGGTCATGGGTGACACCAAATGACTCCATCAAGTGGAAAGAACCAATTTGTTCCAGCTCTCAACTCTCCTGCAGCGCCACGAAAATATTCCCAAACAAGCCCAGGTGGGCGGGCTGTCTCCTGCCGGAGCAGACTCCGGCCCTCAGGTAAATCACATCCTCGTGGGAGGAAGGATTAGAGGGAGTGGTGACCCGTGACCCTCCCGAATCCGCAGAGCAGAGGGAATATTAGCCAGGTGAGTGCTGGGCGAGAGCAGAGTGGACGGGCAGCAGGGACCTTCTGCGGGGTGGACATCGGGAGCAGAGACACCCACACCTCTCCTGCTGCAGCCCCTGCACCGCCACAGGTAATCAATCAATCAATCAATCAATCAATCAATCAATCCCTCCTCGGCGGGTGCCCCTGCCTTGGCACGGGCTGCCAGCGAGGGGCTGTCGCTGGGCACGGCAGGAGAGAGCTGCAGGGAGCTGTAGGCAGTAGGGTGGGACAGCGGGGCTTCCCCAGAGTCCTTTTGCCAGGGAATGTGGTTTGTGCTGCGGGAGGGGCAGTGGGAGCGCTCGGGGGCAGGTGCTGGCAGAGGTTTCACCGCGCTGCACCTCTCGGAGCTCACCGGGGGCTCTCCAGCCCTGCTGAGCTGAGCGACGCTTCACTGAGGGAGTATTTCTGCAGGTTTGCTGTTGGGAGGAAAGGGCCATCCCAGGCAAGGCTCTTCCCTGGAATTTGCCTTCTCTCCTCCTGACGTTACGCCACAAAAATGCTTTCTGTCTCTCCTTGCTTCTTCTAAAGGCTCAGTCTGAAAGTCCTGAGTGCAGAGCCCCGGGGCCGAGCTGGGCTGGGAGAGTTCTGCGTGGCTGCCGTCCCTGCCGTGCCCCCACCTCTGCCCGCCTGTCCCAGAGACCCGTGTTCTCCTCAGGAGCATCCCGGGAAGGATGCGGGGAAGGAGGGTCCTGCTGCAGCCCAGGGATGTCGGCAGGGACAGGCGGGGCAGTGAAGGGTCTTGGCCCCAAATCGCGGCCCAGGGGGTGCAGGGAAGGAGGGTGGTGGGGAACCCTCCTTTCCCCAGAGTGGGGGTCAGTGCCTGTGCCATCAGTGTCTCTCACATTCCTGCTGTTGATGATGTTTTGCAGAGCACCAGGATGTGGCTGTTCCTGACCATTGCTTATTTAATGTGCATCGGGGAAATGTCAGATGCAAACCCCGAGGTCTCCATGGATGTTGTAAGTCCCAACTTCTCCCCCTTCTTTCCCGCTTGGTCAGGCAAGCTCCCTGGGCATGGTCTCTGTGTGTCTTCACCAATGTTTGATACCAGGTTTTATTATCTCCCTGTTCTTCTTCATGATAAATCTTCCCAGATTTATGGCTGACATTTCTGGGGAACTTCATTCCAAGTCAGCAGGTTTGGCCAAGGCAGCTGTCTGAGGCTCAGAGCGTCGCTGTCACTGCTGCCCCGCTCTTCACACGCGCTGGTTGCAACACCACAAGAGACAGTTCTGTACCAGACCTGCTCAGGGAGTGCAGGAAACTCACGCCTGCCAAAGGTTCCAGCTGCAGTCGTGGCAGCGCCGGTGGAAGGGCCCCTGGGAGGTCCCTGCCCCTCCCTCCCGCCGGCAGCAGCAGCCACCAACACCAGCTCGGGGCAGCCACTGGTGGCTTTGCCCAGCCAAGCCCTCACAGCCTTCAGGAGAGAGACCCCCACCCCCTCCCTGGGCACCTGTCCCACGCTGTCCTTCCCCCCCTGCAGGGTGAAATCGTCCGCTACCACGGGTACCCCTACGAGGAGCACGAGGTGCTGACGGATGACGGCTACTACCTGGCCCTGCAGAGGATTCCTCACGGCAGGGGCAACCCAGGCAGCAGGAGCATCTCCCATCAAGCAGAGGCACGGGGCTCCAGCATGTTCTGTCCCCGTAAGTGTCCCAGGAAGGTCTGCCTGGTCTCCGTGCAAAGGGCACAGTCAGTGTCCAGATGTGGACCTGTGTCTCTCTCTGGGAGTGTGATTTATCAGCCTCCATTAAATGTAGAGCCCAGCCTTATTTTCCATCTTCACTGTAACAATTTCCTCTGCCCTGGCATGACCAAAGAGCCTTCTTCAAAAGCACCTCTCCAGAGAGGCTGAGGACAGAGGTGACCCCCTCCCTGCACTGGTGGCACTGCCCCAGGGGGTTGCTGCCAGAGCAATACCTGGATGGGAACGGTCAGTGTTCCCAGCGGTCAGAGCAAATGATTCCTCCTCTTCTTCCTCCAGCTCCAAAGGCTGTGGTCCTCCTCCAGCATGGGCTGGTGTTGGAGGGAAGCACCTGGGTTACCAACTTGCCCAACAGCAGCCTGGGCTTCATCCTGGCCGACGCCGGCTACGACGTGTGGATCGGGAACAGCCGGGGGAACAGCTGGTCACAGAAACACAGGGAGTTTGACTTTCACCACCAGGAATACTCAGCTTACAGGTATTTGCTGCCAACCTGCAGGGCGGGCAGGTACCTGGCACCCTCAGCAGGGTTCAACAGCTGGAGGAGCAGCGCTGCTGCAGTCACACCATCTGCCAGAGGGGAAAACAAACCGGCACCACCGGGACTCCACGGGGCTGCCCAGACCCGCCAAAGCCCTTGCCTGCTCCCAGGCAGCCAGGGCACTGCTTGCCATGCGCTCCCAAGGTCAGCAGGAGTGATTTTGTCCTGTGCATGTCTCCCCTGCAGCTTCCACGAGATGGCCATGTATGACCTCCCAGCCACCATCAACTACATCCTGCAGAAAACTGGGCAGGAGCAGCTGTACTACGTGGCTTACTCTCAAGGCACCACCACAGGTACTTAGCAGGAGGTCAGCCCAGTGTCACAGTTGCACCCAGTTTTGGAGTGTTCTTAAAACCTTGGTCAGGCACAGTAACATCCAGGCACGTCCAAACAACAGTGGGAAAAGGGCAGGTAATAATCCCTGTTTTCTTTAACAGAACAGTTTTGAGCAGTGACAGCCCAAAATCGGTGGCAGTCCTAGCTTTTGGTGCATCCCACTGCTGCCAGAGCCCCAGGAAGAGCTTGGGGAGGTGCAGCTGAGCTGAGCACTCAGGCTGAGCACTCAAGCTGGGACTTGAAATACATCAGCAGCAAAGGCTTCAGGTGAAGTCACCAACCTGCTAGAGCCACTTCTAAGGGTCTTTCTGGTGGGCTCACACACCTGGGAGTCAACAACTCCTTCAAATTTAACAGGGCAGGGTCTGCTTCCTTCTCCCTCACACAGGTTTCATTACCTTTTCATCCATTCCTGAACTGGATCGCAAAATCAAGATGTTTTTTGCCTTGGCTCCCACCACTGTGAACTCCAACACAAAGACACCCTTGGTGAAGGTGTTCGACCTTCCTGAGGCACTGGTTAAGGTATGTCCTCACCACATGTGAGATGTGCTAAGACATGCAGGGCTTGACCACCCCCTCCCTCCTCCTGCCCTCTGGGTGCCCTCTGTATGTTTGTGCCTGTGCCCTTCACCCTGCAGGGCCTTGAACACTGTCAAACACCTCCCTGCCCAGCCCTAATCAGAGAAGAACTATTTCTGGATATTGGGTTTGGGTCCCTTCTCCTGGGAGAAACCTCTCCTGGGAAGATCAAGGCTCTCCCAGGGCCATGGATGTTTCTGAAAAGCCCAAATGACAAAGCACAGCAAAGCTGTGGCAAGAAGTCAGCAGCTTCCAGGGCTGGGCAGGGAGGTGGGCAGCACCTGGAGGCAGAAAGCAACAGGAACCACTCTGACCAACCCTTTTGGCTCCCACAGCTCGTTTTAGGACACACAGTGGTCTTTGATAAGGGCCATATCTTGAAGCAAGTGATCTCTGCTGTGTGCACCTACCCCATCTTTAGCAGTATTTGCTCCTTGGTCCTTTACCTGCCTGGTGGCTTTACCAGCAGCTATGATGTGGTAAGTACCCTCCAACTTACCTTTGAAGGGATCCAGTTGCTCATTGTCTGACCAGGAGTTGTCAATTTGCTCCCTTTCACACCTTTGATGGGTAGAAACATCTGGCCACTGTGTTGGCATTTTGCCCCCCTGGACATTCATTCCATGCTCCAGGGGCTCCCAGGGTTTCTCTTGCACTGAGTGATTTGTGATTTCACAGGGGTTTTAGGGACATTATGGAATGAACTTCCCTTCAATCCACCTCTAGGACTGAAGGCCATCAGGCTTTTCAGTCCACCATCCCTTAGAACAAACTTGTCCCCAGATCAGAGCCTTTCTCTGTGCTCCACTGCACCGAATGTGGAATCCTAGAAAAATCCAGGCTAGAGGCACCAGGCTGGGGGTCTCCATCCCAACCTGCTCCCACCAGGGCCAACACTACAGTAGCTTACTTGAGGACACATCCAGGCAAGCTGGGCAGTCCCAGGGGGACCACAAGGGGAAGGGCTATTTCCTTGGGGCCAGCCAAGATTTCAAGGTCCAGATCCTGCCAAAACCTGCTCATGTGAGTGAAACTGGAGACAGGTCCACACAGAGTACCAGAAGCACCAAAAGCAATAATAGCTTGATCCTGGATGGAGTCAGAACTGGGCCACTGTTTCTCAAGGAAAATGTAGGTGAAATTTCCTAATATTCCAAGAAGGAAACATTAGGAACAACACACAGCTGCTGCAGTGAGCTGCACTCTGTCTTTGCAAAGGATCCTGAGCACAAGATGTGGAGTCTTGCTTTGGTTTGAAAAGCAGACAGACTCCTAACATGGCCCAGCATCCCATGGGGAATGCTCAGCTTGCTGAAGGGAGCTCTGCAGCTCTGTGTGAGTGAGACTTGTGTGGCTGCTGAGCAGGAGCCGTTTTATTTCTGGGGGGATTTCTCTCCATGCAGAGAATAAATATCTCCCCTGGTTTCTTGCAGAGCCGCATGGACGTGTACATGTCTCGCTACCCTGACTCAACATCCCTAAAAAACATGCTCCACTGGCGCCAGGTAAGATTTCCTGCTGCAGGGGCAGATTCCATGCAACAAGAGCCCATGTTCTCTTCTCTCAGCTGCTGAGGGCCCCTGCTCAGTGCAGGGCTTCCATCCCCCACTGCTCTCCCTGCAGAGCTGGATTTGAGAGAGAGACAGGGAAGCTGAACTGAAACACTGGTGCAGGTGAAGTTCCTTAGGCCATGACTCCCAGCAAAAGGTGTCCCAGAGTCTTTGGAGCTGGTAGGAGGTGGAGATGGAACAAAGAGTGGTGATAAACCAGGACAGGAGATGCCGAGGGTCAGTAGGACAGCAAATGATCCAACTAATTATTGGAAACATGCACAGGCTCTTTCTGCTGTGGGCACTGACCATGACAGACGAAGGAAACTTGCCCACAGGTTTGATTCACGTCTCCTTTGAGGCTTTTGGTTGTACAGCAGGTTCCCTGGGGGGTTCTGGGGCCTCAGCCCCCTGACATCAGTGCTCTGCAGAGAGGAGGGGTGAGCAGAGCCAGCACAGCTCAGGCTGTGCTGAGATCACCCTGGGGACTGAGCTCTGCTCCCAGAATACAATATCAGACATAACAAAGGCTTCCTTGAGCCCAGCTGGCAGGAGGGAGCAAGGCAGCTCCCCAGTCACCCCTGTTATCCTTCTTGGGGTCCCCTCCAACACAGGAACAATAAACTTGGCTCTCCTCCTTTTCCAGCTCTATCAAACAGGGGAATTCAAGTATTATGATTATGGCAGTGACAACATGCTCCATTACAACCAGGTAAGAGAAGGCCATTCCCATTTGACAGTTTTAAAAGAGATTAAAAAAAAAAAAAGGGAAATAGTGGAAAGAAAATATTGCAGTGGTTGAGACTGACTTTTGAGCATTGAGCAACCTGGGCTAGTGGAAAGTGTCCCTGCCCATGGCAGAGGTCTGGAAGTAGATGATCTTTCAGGTCCTTTCCAACCCAAACCATTCTATGATTCCTTGAATTTTATGATATTTGTGGCATTTACATTATATGGGGAAGCAAGTTTGTGCCTTCCTTCCAAAAGAAGGTGTCTGTGATGTCACTCAGTGATGACTTTGTGACCCTCTGGTGAAAAGCACAGAGCCCAAGGCACTGTGAGGCTCCCTGGTGATAGTTTCTCTGCTCTAATTGGGCTAAGGGAGCAATCCCAAGCAGTAACCAGGAATAGGCTACACTTCCATTTGTCTTGCAGACCTCCCCTCCCTTCTATGAGCTGGAGAAGATGAAGGCCCCGCTGGCCGCGTGGTACGGGGGCAGGGACTGGATTTCAGCCCCTGAGGATGTGAACATCACCCTGCCCCGGATAACCAACCTGGCCTACAAAAAGTACATCCCCGACTTTGTCCACTTCGACTTCCTTTGGGGCAAGCAAGTGTATGAACAAGTCTACAAAGAAATGCTGGATCTCATGGAGAAGAGCTCCTAGAGCTGGAGCTGTGGCCACTGGGGGCTTCTCAGTGACTTCTGGGGCTTCTTTGGTTTGGAGGGGGAAAAAAAAAGTGAAGAAACAAAAGAGGGAAAAGGCTCAATAAACTGCTACACTTGATTTGGATTGACATTACTGTGGCCAGAGGGGAAAACAAGCCAATGCCATGATCAGGAGAGCACGCTGGATTTAGGTTCAATAGGCTGAGGTCCTTCAGAAGTTGGGCACGGCCCTTAAACCCTGAGTCTCCTGGGTGCCTCACTCAGGGGGGTTTCCAGCAGCCACAAACTGCAGTGGAATTGGGCTCCTGGTGGCCTCCCCACGCTCGTGTTCCCAGCTGCCACGCCCTGGACAGAAGCTCGGTGCCTCCTGGACGCTGGTGTTTCCCGGGAGTGGGTCTGCTGGGATGGACCCACGGGGTGGGTCGAGCGATGGATCCTCCAGGAGTTGCTTTATTCACCTTCTGGTGGCTCTTCCACGCCGAGGACCCCAACATCCCGACATTCTTTGCTTCACTTCACGGTCAGAAGGAGATGGAAGCTCTCTGCCTGGTGACAGTGAAGAGCTCTCAGGGGTTTTTCCCATGAGAACTGTCCATTTTGCTGACATAGGGAAGGTCTTTCTCAGGTTCCTGTTGATTTGGATAACACTGGTCTTGCTCATACACAAAAGAGTTTTCAACCAGTTCTACCAGGAAACACCATTTTAAGCACTTCTAAGGCACAAACCCAGCTGGAAAGGCCACCTTTTGCTGCCTCTCAGGGAATACTTTTGTTTTCCTTACAAAAACAAAAGCAAGAGAGAGAAGAGTCTGGTGGAAGCCAGTAATGAGTCTAAATCTGTTTTCAGCCTCTGGATTAAGTTCTTAACAATACATGATGATGATAATAATAATAATAATAATAAAACCAATAAATTTATAAGGTCTACTTGGCTCTGTGTGGTTGTACTGTCTTAAACCCCTGGAGAAATTCTCCCCTGGGAGGGTGGGGAGGCCCTGGCCCAGGTTGCCCAGAGAAGCTGTGGCTGCCCCTGGATCCCTGGAAGTGTCCAAGGCCAGGTTGGACGGGGCTTGGAGCAACCTGGGCTAGTGGGAAGTGTCCCTGCCCATGGCAGGGGGTGGAATAAGCTGATCTTGAAGGTCCCTTCCAACCCAAGCCGTTCTAGGATTCCATGATTCTCAGAGGGGTGTCTGGCTGGGCTGGCCAAGATCCCCTGAGTGCTGCCAGGAGAGTGAGGGTTACCAGCTCCTGAGTCCCCCATTTGCTCCTGGGCTCTGCTTGAGGCCCAAACCCCAACTGTTTCTTGGCCTCTCAGGTGCTTTAAGAGCCAACAGTTACATCCTCTGGTGTGAGGTGTCACTCCTGCATCTTGCTGACTTTGTGATTCAAAGACATCAGGCCACATTGCTGCTGGATGTCTCTCATGGTCTTGTTTGAGCATCACAGGGCTGCAACCCCTCGTGCTGCTGGGACAACAGGAAGAGAAGGAGCCCCTGAAGTCAGCTGTGTCCCC